GTGGCCGCGGCGGAGCGGGCCGGGTCCCCGGCGGCGGGCGGGCCTGGGCGGGAGCGCCCGGCAGAGCGCTGGGGATTTTACCACAGGTTTTACCACAGGGTTTCCCACTCGCCGTCTGTGAGGCTGCTGCCGCGGGCCTGGCGCAGCAGGCCGAACCGGGGTAACTCATGATCTGTAGAAGGCTTTAACTTAAGACTGTTGTCTGCCTTAAAAGAGGGGGTGTGCGTGGAGGTGAGCTCGTCCCGGCCTGCGGGCTGAGCTTCCCAGGCTGGCACCTGCCCTTGGGGAGGAGGAACCTGCTCGGGGTCTGGGCTGGAGGAGGCAGAGCCACAGCTCCCAGACAAGACCTCACCCCGCTTGTGGCAGGGCGGATCAGGCCTTCGTGAACTGAGATGCCTACTCACCTCAGTCCTTAAACTCTACCATTGCATTGCATGGAGGTTTGATTTATTACGTGACTTACTACGCAGCTACAAACTCACACTTTGAGCGAACGTTCCCGTAACTGAATTCTCCCGACAAGGTGAAAGGCGACCATCCAGCTAAGTGGTGGTGAGGAGGACGCTGGGGTGCATTCTTGCCTCTTGGCCTTTTTTTTCTCCCACCATCTTTGAATGTTGTTTCATGAACCTTGGGGAGATGGCACTTGCCCTGTGCTTTGGAGCGCATGGTGAGAGCGGACCCTGTTCGTCAAACCATGAGGCTGTAGCAGGTAGTTGTTGCCATCTGGTGAGGGTCCTTGAGGACATGGCTCTGCCGGAGGAAAAGATGCCCACGCTGCAGGCACTTTGGGGTGGAAGAGACAGCTGCTGAGCAGGCGCATGGTCCTGGGGCAGGAGGAGCATGTGGCACCAAGAAGTGGTGGGAGACCAGCACCAAGAAGGGATGTGGGAGACCAGCCTGGGAATGTTTTGCACCTTCAAAGCCTCCTTTCAAGATCTCCCTAGGGACCAGCTGCCACTTTGCGTGACGTTATTGAAAAACATCGCACTCACATTTACTGCTGCTTTTTCTTTTCCTGTCTCCTTATCATTTCTAGCTGTAGACCGTCCCCTTATCTGGGCAGGCATTTCAGGAAGCTGCAGTCCTATTTCTGATCAGCAATATTTCCTGAAATGTTCGGCTATCTCAGACCAAGGAGACCAGCCTGACACTGCTCTGTAAACAACGAACCCACAAAGCCGCCAAATGTCAAAGCACTCAAGGCTGCAGCCTGCGACGTCA